GCGATCGTGCTGGTCGTTCTGGTAACGCTGAGATTCGATATCACTGCCCTTTCCACCGTACCTTTCTTTACCGCTAACATTACTGTTCTGATCATCATCAAACTTCGGTGCAGGTGCTCCGAGGCTTTGAGTGGTCTGAGGAACGACGTCTTTGTCTTCGTACCGGTCGACCTGTTTCTTCTCGCTGGTTGACTTGTCATCCTTGTACTGCATTGTACTAGCTTCGGCACCTTCTTTGTCATGAAACTCTATTTCTCCAGGGGAACTAAGAGACAAGCAAGGACATAATGGTTGGATGACTTCGATATAAACAATCAATACGCTAACGTAAGGCTTGTTGTTGGGTAACAGTGACAGAAACATCCAGGACAGACGATACATACCCCTCAGCATACTGGTCCTCCTTGCCTTTTTTTCGACAGCAAAAACAGTAAACGAGAATTCCCACAACCACGACACCTGCGAGGACTACGGCAACAATTATTGCAGTGGACGCAGTGCCCATGCTGGCTGAGTAAAAAAAGAGAAAACATAGAAAACACTTAGTCCCGGTCTATGAGCCCATCTTGACCAACATTTATGGCATCATTAGCCATTTTGAACTATTAATTGGCTGTGTGTTTTGGTACTAAACCAAAACCACTAAGTTAAGGCTATAGATGGAATCCCTCAGAAAGGATCTTCAAAGAACCGTTTTGTGAGCTTTGGGGTTCAATTTTGAACTCTATTATTAATATTATTATTGTTGTTATTATTATTATTATTATTATTATTATTATTATTATTATCATCGACATTTTAACCTCAAAACATAGGAAGAATACTAAAGATGGTCCAATATATAATGGAGAGGCTTTCATTACATTTTGGCAAGTAGGGACTTTGGCATTAGTGTCAAGGAGAAGCATTTTCACACAAATCTGCTGGCAAAAGTCAGACAAAATCCCAGTTTTACCCAAATATACAAAACCACTCCAAAAAACTCCAGTATTGTTTAGGAGAGCCCAATAATATGTCATGATAACTTATTCTAACCTGGGATACACTTTAAATAATGATTTTTCTCTATTGTGTTTTATAAAGACAGTCAAGTTTTGGCTTTGTCTACCAGATATATGTATTGAACTTGCAATTGGAAATATATAAACAAGAGGTTACTGGTTCCATCAGCTACTCTCTGAATTGAGCTGGTAAATGTTCCTTAAATATCCTTAGAGTTCCTTGAGGCTCTCTAATGCGACATATACTATTAAGTGCTGTAAGGACTTAGATGCTTGGGAGCGTGAATCTTTAAAGCTGCATTTATTCATCTTTGGCCACTAGAGGGCGGTGAAACAAACTGTACCCTCAGCATTCATTTGTTACTTATTACCTTGTTTTTATGGCAAAACACTGCCAAACTGTTAACCTTCTGTGCAGTACTTTTACAGACTGATTTTGTTCTGAACGCTACATGGCAGTTTGAATTAGCAGCAGATGGAGTTTAACACTTACTCATTTAAAACTGAACAGCGGGCTGCAACAGCGATGCATTCACCCTGTGTTGTACTTAATGAAGTGCACTTGAGCCACATTAGTGTTATTATAGGTGGTAAACTAATTAGCTGAACAAGCTAATGTTTGCAGCTTACATTAGAGGCACAGTTTGATACAGTCATGTTGAGTGGTGTTTTTGGTTTTGGAAAGGCAACAACAACAAAAAAAAACACAAAATGTTAGAGCTCCATTTACACTCCTTTGACTTATTGTGATGTCCAAATCAATTCGTCTAACTTTATTTGTGCAGCAACTTTTATACAGTTTTGTGCCGTTTAAAGTGCTTCACAGATGCTGATGATAAGATGCAACAAAGAACAGATTAAAAAGACAATATATTAAAACAAGATGTGTATGGGCCTAAAAAAAAAAGTCTGACAGGCCTGTTGTGCCTCATTACTGTTACTGAAACTGGACTGGACGGCTCTTTTTGTGGAGGAATTCACAATTTAGTTCTGGCAGCTGATCAACAAAAGTGCAATACTCACTCTTTTGTGACTCAGTTTTGGGCTCCACCAGGAAAAAAAGTGGCTTTTTAAGCTGTTAAATAATCCACTATTCATAAATTCAGTAGCTACTTGCTAACTTTGCCTGCCATTTGCTGCTGAGAATGTAAAGTGGACTGAGTTTATGAGAGCTTCGTGCTTAACGCAGCAGCCTGCAGCTGCCTGGAAATGAAGAGAAGTGGAATTTGCAATGCACACTGAGTTGAGAGGAACTGTGAAGCTGAGTGGTAGTTTTCTGTAAACAGTGGTGCAGGTAGATCATGTTAAAAGACTCACGGGGCTCCACAGTCAAGGTAAGGTTGCAGCTGGCAAAACCAATTCGATTTTCTGATTTGCAAATGAAGAACCCAGATGTATCTCGTGTAATGTTGATGAGAGATAAAACTCCATCCTCTGCAACATAAAGACAACAATCAGATGATGAGCCTTTTTTTTTTTTTTAACCATTAATACTGATGAAAAGTGTGCTTCAAGGTAACCAATGGATGGTTGAGGAAATTCCTACTTTGAGTTGCTTTAGGTGGTAACTGCCTGGGCATGTTTGTGACGCTGTAGCTCGTCCAGTCGTACGTCGGTGTTGGAGATCCCTCCTCAGACTTGCAGCTGAGTGTGATGTTGTGAAAATACTCTGTTGTTCCCTTGATGATGCAGATCGGCGCAGAGGGAGCAACTGGAACATAGAATTGAATCATAGAAAGAATTTCCCTCAGAAATGCTCTGTATTGCAAGACTGTAACAAAGCACAGTATTGATTTTACGGTGACACACGTTACGCATGCACTTATATGTCTGCCAAAGCGGATAGAGAGCCATAAACCGAATGAACTTAGTTGATTCTTACCCAGAACCAAGAGGGAAGTGACAGCAGCTAGTGTTCCCTCGTCATCGTTGAAGATGTTGACACTGCATTGGTAAGAGCGATTGTCCTGCATGGTCACTTTTGTTAGGCGGAGTGTGCTCGTTCGCGTTGTCATGTCAACCTCGAGGAAGGCTCTGCCTTCGTAATCAGGTGCAACGTTAACCGGACGGTTATAGAAGTAGGAGGCCACGGCTTTCTGGAGAAGTAAGCACATAATGTCTGCTCAGTACAATGTGAGTATAATCAGTGCCATGCAGCAAGTCATCCTGACATGACAGACTGTGTAGAGATAAAGGATGTGGCATTGTACATGAGGCAAATTTGTGGGATGTTCTTTATAATTAAAATTAACTAGCTAGTGTTGTTATCTGCTTAATAAATATGAGATGATTTTTATTTATTTTTTTGTCACTCTAAGTTTCAGTTTTGTTTTGAGTCTTGCTGCTGCTGCAACACTTTGTCCCGGATTAACTATTTCGTGTACATTTCATCATGACTATTTCTCAAATTCTGAAATAATACAACATCCATGTACAGTCTTGTCGAATGAAAACTAGAATACATTTTCTCCGTGCAGCAGTGAGTTACACACAGTTGGCAATCCTGACTCATTCACCTGCTCTTCAGCCACTGGACAAAGGTCAGTACTGTTATATGTGTCCAGCGATTAATAGAAACTAAGCAGATGATACGATGCCACAATGCTGTAAAGTCATATTCTACATTGTTAACATTATCTGAGGAAGATGAATAAGAGTTTGATTGAGAATAATAATAAGTCAGTGTAAGGTTCAAAAGTAGATAATGATGTGAATCGAAAACGATAAAGTTACTCATGCTGTTGTTTTAGACAGAAAACTGAAACAGGCCAGAGTTATGTAAACGCAAGATCCTACACTTCCCATAATGCAACTCTAATGGCGCTCATTCTCCCCGCCTTGTACACAGCACTTCCCCCACCCCAATTTTACTGTCTGATATGAATTTGTAGTCTCCGAAACTATTCCAAAAATAGGCCCTGAACACACCACTGATCTTGGAGTTAAACATGTGCACACACTAGTTCCACTTCTTACCATTGGTTCACCAGCAACGTCCGGGTTAGCTTCCCATGAGAGGAGCAATGTGGTCAAGTCGTCTACGGCTGGGACGAATGAGCAGGTCAAGGTAATAGCAGCCCCTCTTGCAACCTCATAATTACTCTGTGGGATAGTGACCTCCAAACTCCTGCAGCAGGGGAGCACTGGAAAAAACAGAAATACACAGTATCACTCTTCCTCATCTGCTTTTGTAATCATCCCCTTTTGTGGATTACGGAATTGGGTGACAGAGAAAAAATGAATTAATCTGAAAAAATTTGTTTTTTAAATATAATTAGTAGTTTCACCTACAGGTTTCTTTTGAGTGAACTATAATCCTGCTTCCGGGAGAGCAGCAAGGAGCTGGGTTAATGATTAACACCGCTGATAATACCATAAAGGTGTGTCAATGGGGTTTTCGTTATTTACAAAAGAGAAGAAATACAAGCATAAAGCCTACCTGTGAGTATCAGAAACAGCATTCGCCATCCAAGTTGCCTTTCTGTCGTCATTTCTGGAAGAGGGTTAAAACATCCAGACAGTAAAAAATGCCAAAATTGATGCTCTCGGTCCAAGAGCAGGAGCCCGCCTAACCTTGACGGTGAACTCCCAGGTATGGAGAAGTTGACTCTTCCAGGTAATAAGTCAACGGCTATAGGTCACATGTCAGCAAGGATCCAATCATTGATCTGTTTTCCTTTTGATTCAAACTGCAAAATGGAGTTTAACATCATAATCGGGGGTATATAGCAAGATAGACAGAAAGATAGATAGATAGATAGATAGATAGATAGATAGATAGATAGATAGATAGATAGATAGATAGATAGATAGATATGCTATAGCAGCATAGACACTAGATTTCATGTGTCCCTCAATGTTGCAAACTTAGAAAAAAAAAACAGTTTTCAATACATTTTAAACGAATGTTAACAACAATGACTCCAATCTGAAATCAAGTGATCACAGGCAGTTCTGTGGCCTTTGCCGAAACAGCTTGATTGTGCTCTACATTGTCCATCAGCAGCTGGTGTTACACTCAGTTTGACCTGCAGGCTGCAGTATTGCACTATGACTGAGTTAAATACAAACCAACAAACACACCCATTTTGAAATGCTCATAAATGTAATTGAACAGACGCTGTGGTCTCTGCACACAGATGAACAGCAGAACATGTGGATTGAGCCGAGGACTCGCAGTGCAGTGGGAGATATGTGACCTTCGCAATAATACAGTGTGCTCATTCAGGCTTTGGTGGCACAAGGTTGCAGATTCAGACTCAATTCCTGACAATGATGCAATCTGGCAGGGTGAAGAAGTCAGCTGTCTTGAAATATTCAGCCGGTCATAGGCGCCGCGTTAAGCCCATGACTTAAACTTTAACTATTTGTTGTATGAGGAAGAACGTAAAACTGCTTCTGCTTAGACACAAAGACACCCATGACCAATTTGAAACACTTAAAAGATCAACATAATGATGTTTTCAATGTGAGCTCACAATCTAAAAAATGACACAATAGTAACAATATTGCTCGTTTTCAACAAGAACTTGCACTCAAATTCTTTACTAGTGAAAGTATCAGTGAAACAATTGGAAATGATCCATTACATGTGAAAAACCAGTGTTCAACACCTTACAAGTACAGAAGAATTATCATAAGATAACATTTTGTAAAATGTACCGAAATTCCCAAAATTCAAAGCTCTGGTTCTGCAGAAAAATGTCCTCAAATGATAGAGTATTACAAATAGCATTTTTATTACCTTGTTGATGCACCAACAATAACCAGTTTAGTGTTGGAACTGTTAGTGTTTGCTTCAGGTTGTGTACAATATTAAAATGAACAATTTAAAACTGTTTTTATCTTCTTTTTTTTTGAGAGAGATTTGCTGTTATTTTCCCAATTTTCCCTGTTTTGTAGAGTAACAGATACTAATAACTAGTAAAATCACACTACATGTTAAACCCCAAAAAACAAAACAAAACCGCAAATAATGTCCACATCAAAATTCTAAACATTTTAATGTAAAATTTTTTTTTAAAACTGTATATATACAACAACTTATTTAAATCAGCAGAAATATCATTATTTTACATATAGATGCCATTATTTTAGAGAAAATAGTAATTTGTTATTTTATAATATGTGGCCCTAAAATTACACTATCTTACTGTATTTAAATCAGCTAAAAATATCATTATTTTACTGATATTTGATATTATTAATTTCAGATTTTTATTATTATTGTTTATTATTAATAATAATAATTTATTTATTTAACAGTTTTTCAATGTAACAATATTCAACCATTTCCATATATTATTAAAAAAAAATTAACTTTTTTTTTTTACAGTGTTGTTTAGTTGTTCAGTCCACTTGTCAGAATATGTGAGTACAACTGACATAAAAGTATACAATAAAAGAAAAGCTAGGTTTGCAGCTCCCACTGTCAAATCCTTCTTACAGTCAGTAAATAAGTTAAAAGTCAACTGAACAACTGTTAAAACGGTTCTATTTTTTTTCTCATATTTTGGGATATTACGTTTCTGACCTTTCGATAAATATAATCATCGCTGTTTAAGGAAGCAACAAAAGGGATGTTTATTTTCAGTGCTACGTACCAAAAAGCATTGCGTGTACATGATGTCTCAGAAATGTGCTGAATATCTTTTTCTTCATCAAAAACTTTCCCAAAGAGGATTTTTCTTACAGTTTGAAGCCTTTCATCAGCAGACTTTATGAACTTGTACATGAATTAACCTGCTGAGAGGCCCCGAGGCCAACACTATCTGGTGAGCACTCATTAACCCTCCGTTGCCCGTATTGTATATTCACCCTGTTGCTGCCATCAAACAAAGTGTACAGCAGAGAACATGTGGCAACTGTAAACTCATACACCCAGACACAAAGTAATACTGTTAATAGGCTGGATTAATAACGGCACATAGGAGATAGTGAACCATTACTGTCAAATATACATCCATTGAGTATATACTCTACCCAGACATGTGTACACGTGTATTACCATTTACAACATCTGTATAAAGTATTTTATATTTAACAGTTTAACCTGTTGTTTCTATATGTTCTTGTGTCTCTGTTCAGTTTTGTTGTTGGTATTTTTGTTCTCCTAAACATAATTGCGTGACAGTACATCGAGAGATCGGAGCCAAATTCCATATGCATGTAAACATACTTGGCTAGTGAAGATTCAGTTCAACTCAAACAATAATGGCATTAAAAGTGAAGTTTGACACAGCGCCACACCACAAGGAGCAGAGCCACATCTTTAGGTAATAATGCAGGACTCGCCTCAGTTGTTACAGTGCGGTAGTTGTGCCAATTTCCTGTCAGATTAACAATTAATCATATTCCCGAAACCAAGACATGCAATGAATGTGGGACTTCCCCAGAGCTCCATTAACTGCTTGGTAATCAGACCTTTGAGTTGTGTAATCAGACATATTAAACACCAAGTCTGCATCAGGTTTTGTTAGTGTTGCACATTTGAAAATACTGTGTTGCATGACTTTGTAATTAAACTCTAATTTTGACAAAATTAACGCAGACTCGACGTTCACTGGGATGTGCACAGGCCTTATTTCCACTTACTACAACCTAGTTACAAAGACTTTTTCATTGTACCTTTTTCAATTCATGCATGTATTTGTCAACAATTCCAACCTGTATAATGCAGGAAGTGGCGTATAAACAAGTAATGATCTTCTGTGAGTGTATTTAATGGTGCGTGATTGGATGTTTTAGTTTGCAAAATGGTAAGTGAAATGAATTGATGATGTGAACAAAAGGGCTAAAACATGCAAAACCAACTGTAAACATGTGACCTGTTTATTATTATTGTTAATAATAATAATAATAATAATAATCATAATAATCATAATAATTGTTTTTCAAGATATTCAAAGTGGCTTTACAGGGTACAAGATAAAAACAGAAATAAACAAGTTGAATAAAAAGCAGATAAAAAACAAGGTACAAAAAGCAGTTCTATAATGTAAAACAGTTAAACATTAAAAGCGAATTAACTTACCCCTGGCGAGTGAATCGAAGAAGTTAATGAAATCTAATAAGTTATGTTGGTATGTGCAGTGCAGCTCAATGGAAGGAACATTCAGGAAGTGGTGGGAATATGAGGAAACATGTCCCCACTTATCATCTTTTCACATTAGAGAAGTGAGAATTTCTTCTGGTCAAACAAAGGTCAGCAATGACGCTTCATGTTAAAAGGTATTACATAACTTCTGGACTTTTTTTTTTTTTTTGTCCAGTAGTAAATGAACAGATACAATTAAGGTAGCAGGAATGACAAATTTAACCAACCTCTTGCATCAGGGCTGTATGAGCACAAAACAAATCTTTCTTTATTTCAACAGAAGACAACATTTGGTGTCACTACATGCATAAGCTACAACTCCAGTCAATGTTCATGCAGTGTGAATAAGAGCCAACTACATTATGTGGATTCATAATAATACTTCTGGTATTACTGTGTTAAAGGTGGGTCTGAATTATAAATAAAAAATGCTAGTAACACACTACGGTGATTTCTCAAGAGACTGAAGGGTTATTTATGGAATAAATAACTTTGACTTTGAAGTAGTGAGTCAGACTCGTAGCTACAGACAGTCCGAGCATTTTATTTTTTTAAACAAAAGTAAGAATAATAAAAGATTAGACCGATTCATCCACGACTCCAATCATCAGTCCTTGAAAACAAATATGATGAAGTCACAATGTTTTTCTGTCGTATTAATTTGGCAACAGGCCGCCGAGTAACAATGACGACACATTTCAATGTTTGATTGTAAGTTGCTTTAGTAAGTTATTATTAGAGATGTTTTCATCAGCAACACAGGCAGCAGATTGGCTCTGATTGTCATTAGTTATTTGCTTTTGGGATATTGTGTTACAAGACTTTATGAGATGACCTTTTTTTTTTCCTGTACATCTCTTCTCCTGGACTATTTACAGGGTGGGTCGCCCAAATAAATACATTAACACATACACTGTGGTGTTAATGTGGAACATACACTGTAAAATATAAAAGAATTTAGTCAAATCAACTCATCTTTTGTAGTTTACTTCATGTAAATATACACATTTTGCTCATTTCTAGATAACAGATCTCGACATGCAGCCTATAACTTTTATTTTCAGACCAAGTCATGACTTAAAAACATTCTTTTTTAAAAAAATGACATTTTGATCTAAAATGATTAACTGAATAAACAGCAGAGACTTCACACAACTCATTACTACAGCAAACAAAGATGAAAAGAACAGAACATTGTCATCTTGTATGTAGCTGAAGTGTCTGATAAACTCAGAGGGATATCTACAAACACAACATCGCACTGCACTTCAGACCCAGCAACACTCTGAGACACAAAGTTGTTCATCCTGAGGTTAAAGCAGCCAAACACAAGCTGAGCGTTGTTGTAGATGCAGTCCAATGCAGCGAGGAGTGAACAGACCTGTATAGAGGGAAGACCACACAACTGCTCTACAAGTGTCAACACAGGAGAATCAGCTCCTCAAGACAAGACTCAGCTGAACAGTGAAGACAGATGGTTTGAGATTAGAGTGAAGGGAGCATCTATGTTAAACTCGAACAGCGATCTCTTAACAGAGGAGGGAGTCCACAACACCACTTATCAGGTACATACAATGCAGTCTTGAGATCTCTTCCCAGAAACTTTCAGCACCAATAACATCTTGTGACACTTGAGGCCTCCAGTACGAAGCAAATTCAACATACCCAGGATATCCTTTGTTATCTGGCTTTACTAAAACCGAACATCCGCAGTTGTGATAAGCGGCTTCACTTAACTGGCTATCTAATCAACTACACTTTGTGAATCTTGATATGAGCGCATTAACATAAAAGAGGAGGCGTTAGCACCAGATAAGCAAGCACAGACATGAACAGGTCTGCTGACACCTGAGACGCGTATTTCACCAACGAAGAGCAAACTATGATATTAGAGAAATACTGATATTTTAAATATATAATACAGACTCAAATAGTGCTGCAGCAGCTAAAGCAGGAGGCAAAATTTGCAAAAAAAAAAAAAAAACAGACCCTGCAGACTGTATGAATGTTAACAGGTTTATCATTGTCATCACCAAATTATTAGGGCACAAGTAACTCTGACGGCAATTACAACTGTGTATTCTGTTATGACTGTAGACGTATTCTACGGGTGTGGATTTTATTATTTCCACTGAAGCCCTGGAGGTGTTTAACGGTTTCACGAGCAAGAAAAAAAAACGAACATAAAAACGTACCTCGGAGCGCCAAGAAGGCTGACGCTCATGTGTACATAGGGCCACAAGGAAGTGTGTACAACTTTATGTATTATTAACAAGAATAAGAAACTATAACATTATACCAATATAAGGTGTTTAAAACATAATATATGGGGGAAAAAAGCCAAGCTGCTGCAGCTGAAGTCAAGAGGGAAAACTGCAAAAAAACTACATGAATATGAATAATGAATAGGCTTATCAATATCACTGCCCTCTTGTACATAAGTTGCTTCGATGTCTTATTTAAGATTCAAGATTGAATTATCGTCATGCATCACAAGACTGATAATGAAAATACAGATGTAGTCCACTTATTCTACCCACAAAATAGACAAACTATGTAATGAAAAAGTGGCAGTGTTTTAATATGCGCTGATCTGTTATCTCAAACCTAAACTGCACCTGATCAAGTTAGGTGTTCAGCATCTGTTACCGTGGTGACATACCCCCGGAAGAAGTTAATAACTGTCAGCGTCCTGAAAATCCAGAGTTAAACCTGAAGCTACCTCGCCAACCTCAAATCCTGCTTCGTGGTACGGACCTCTGGATGATGTTAATCTGTTATCTCAAACATAAACTGCACCAGATCAGGTTAAGTGTTCAGCATCTGTTACCGTGGTGATATACCCCCAGAAGAAGTTAACCACTGTCAGCATCCTGAAAATCCAGAGTTAAACTGGAAGCTACCTTGCTAACCTCAAATCTTGATTTGTAGGACTTCTGGATGACGTCAATCTGTTATCTCAAACATAAACTGGACCAGATCAGGTGAAGTGTTCAGCATTTGTTACCGTGGTGATATACCCCTGTAAGATGTTAACCACTGTTAACGTCCTGAAAATCCAGAGTTAAACCTGAAGCTACCTCGCTAACCTCAAATCCTGCTTTGTAGTACAGATCTCTGGATAACGGAGAATCTACACCGACAATAATCAAACAGTTCTAACCAATGCAAAATTTGAATTCAGTAACTAGTTTATCTCTCTTTAACCAGGAGAAGTCTCACGGATTATTTTTATACTAAGACGGAAAATTTTAACATTCAGAGACTGTTTGGAGGATGTTGTGAGATTATGTTAAATTTTAACAAAAGAACAATCTACATTCCAGTAATGTTTTCAAGGTGTTCTCAAGGCCTCAGATCCCAATGTTTTTTTGGGATATCCGGTAATGTGACATATTAACAGAGGTAGAACACTTTGCCTGTAATATTCTGAGGATTTTTTGGAGGATGTTGCTGTTGAGAACGTTCTTCTATCAAATGTTCCCACAGTGTTACATGATAGTAGAGAGAGAGGAAGCTTTTAGGGAACATTCAGAACATGTTTGAAGAAGATTAATTTTAAGAAGAACATTTTGCAAAATAAAATATCCCTTGAACCTTGCAGAACTTCATCAGAACGTTTGTAGAACAAAGAAAATTCTAGCCTGGATGTCTGACTAGAACCACTGTCTATGTGACTGGTCGATTGTAATTATCATTTTAAGTTTACTGAATATGTTTTCTTAATGTTGTTGATTTAACTTAATACTTTAAGTTTAATTAACTCGTTTTGTTGACTTAGCTTATATTTTTAAGTTTACTGAATGTGTTTTCTCAAATCAAGGTAACTTAACTAGTTTGTCACTTTCACAACTCATAACATGACTCTGAGCTAATTAATCAAGCTAAGCGGAGTTTAGTCGCATTTCTAGGGCAGCAGGTGAAATGATGTTTCTAAACTGAAGGAACTTAAAATGAGAGAAAGCGGGATGATGTTACTTTGCCTTGAGCACAGTGTTTAAATTCATTTTACTCTTGAAAAATGGTGCATTTATCAGGGTAGAATATGAAGATGACAATACCGGGTGAAGCCACCAACTTGTCAAACCCTAACAGTGCTTCTGTTTCACAATGGCACGATTTATTCCAACTTTAGAGTGTATGAAAAAAATACAGATGACTATTTAAGTATGTAAATAAGCCACAGCAGCAAACAACAGCACTCTACTCTGCCCAACTCCCTCTGTGTGTGTGTGTGTGTGTGTGTATATATATATATGTGTGTGTGTTGTGTGTGTGTGTTGTGTGTGGCAGCAGGCACAGGGCTGGGATTTCGGGTTAAATATTCAAAATGGCGGACGGAGGAGCAGCGAGTCAAGATGAGAGTTCAGGACCAGGTAATGATTACAGCATTTTACATATTCATACTCATATTCAAACTGCATTACTCACAATTTATGATAACGGAATGCTGATGAAACACAGATTGACTAACAGATGAGGACGGTTTCGGCGGCGGTCGTAGTTTGCACACAGCGAAGCCAACTGTAATTTGACAGAGGAGGAAACGAGCTATTGCAGTGCGACGGCAAATTACATGGAAACATGCCTCCCCCCTTTGTGTGATTAGACGGTTGTACGCCGCTACATATTCATACCTCTGTCGACAAATACAATTTAGCATATTTTATTAGTAATCGCCGTCGTGACTCTGGCTCATATGTGACACATTTAGATATTTCGCGAACGCAGTTTGATTGAAATGAGGCTGCTAGCAGGCTAGCGTTAGCCTGCCCTGCTAGCAGCTTGGCTTTGTGTTGATGCACACACTGAGGCTTTTGAAAGAGGTTTGCATATTCATTTTTGACGAGCCGGGCAGCGGCCGCGCTTGTTTCTCTTCAAGTGCTGTTTGTTTTTTTTCTTTTTCTTTTGAGAGATGGTTTGGGGGGATTAACCGATACGTAGCAGTCGTAGCTTTCCCCCCCGTTAAACACACCGTGTCAGCTCGGTGTGCCTGTGCCTGGTTTTATAGCAAAGCATTTTCGCTCAGCCTTTTGTGCTCGGCGCAGCGGAGCCACAGCAGCCCTGTTGTGTTATTCATGCGGGCCTGCCTCGACCAGAGTGCGGAGTTCAGCATATTCCGACGAGCAGCCGGAGAAGCTCATCCAGCGGCGAATGCATGTGAACACAACAACAGTTTATCACGACACACGTTGAGGAGCGTTTGTGTAAAACAAAAAAACAACAACTCCGTCCTCGTCGTCTGGTTAATCTGTTCACGGTTGTCTCTCGAGTGGCTAGCTGGCTACAACTTACTGCTTTAGAGGCTAACTTTGTAGCTGGAATACAGATGTGATTGTTGTGTGTAGCAGCGGAAGGTGAAGCCGTCAGCGTTGTGTGAAGGTGTGAGACTTCTGTGTTAAAGTTGATTGAAGTTGAGCACTTTTTTTTCGTTCTGCTTGAGGTGGGAGTAAACTGTTAGTCCATCTCATTTCAATATATAATTCAATCGCGCAGCTTTCTCGTCGCTTCTGACTGAGCAGTTTGGAAACTTGCTGTATGCCAGTCGTGCCTTTCTTTGTTGTAGGAGTTTCGCCTCAGTCAGTGTTTGAATTCAGAGATTGTACCTGTGTATCCCCTCCAGGCACAGGGAGGGGTGGTGAGGCCCACTTCCGGAAGGCCACAGTAATAACAGGCAGGGCATTCTTATTATTCACCCTGCCGGCTTCATGGCTGGACAAGACACAGCTTGATGGCACCCTTTGTGCTCCATGTAGTTAAGTTTGCCATTTAGTCTGTTGCAGTAACACCACAGAGGGGTTTATTATCCCCACAGGAATCTTTTTAGACTTTTTTTTGTTGTTAAAGTTTTATGTGGAAGCCTCTCGAAAAGGTACCTTTACCATAAAAGGCCCCTGAGTGACAGATCAGGTGTGACTTTGTTCTAAAATACACTGTTGTTATGAGGTTTGGGAGCTGTTTTTGCGATTCAAAGCAGGATAATTAATAGAAATACAGCTTGATTTGTTTTAATATGTAATTCAGCATTATGTCTCAGGTTTAGATTGTTTCCTACGTGATGCCAATACACTTATTTTATAAGTTGTGTGCATTGTCAGAGCTAGAATCACAGGGTAGCTTTGCCCACAGCACCGATAGTATCATGTTACAGGCAATTTTGTGATATGCGATATCTCGCAAGACGGTCTCGATATGTGAATGATGTCCTTTGTTTTAGGGTTTAGGTAGAATTTTTTTTACATTAATACTCCTTAAATGTTAGATTCTAAAGTTTTTATTGAGTTTGCTCGCATTTTGTGACTGTCTGGAAATAGGCTCGCTTATGTAAAAAATAATTGGCTTATTAAACTGGGCTACTTAAATAACAGATGAGAAATAATTCTGTTTTCCTCACACTTAGGCTACTTTTCTCATTTAATCAGTTTTACAGTTCCACCCTCATTCCAGCCTTGTAGTTCCATCATGAATATTCATTGATGTAAACACAGTTGTTATGAATAATGCATCATTCGCAGTAATAAATTCAGGACATGCCATCTCAAAGTACTGAGAAGGCCTCCATGAAGGCTTCAGTCAGACAAGCTTTTCCACTGTGGAGGAAGAAAATCATAACTAATAAGAGCTGTATGGTGTCCTCAGGACTTTTAACTACTTGTTTCTGGTGATGTCTAGTGAAGTGAGTCCTTCACTGACTGAACAATGTAAAGCAGGGATGCCATGTTATGAATAAAGCAAGGTAAAGCAGATATTTGGCTTTTTGTGTGTGAAAAACTGTGAAGACATAAAACACACTCACCTGCTATGTTACACCAACACTCTATTTGCTAAGCATTTGGAAGGATATAAAACCTGTTTCGAGAAGCACCCATAGATGAAAACAAGGATCTAAGATAGTGTAAGATGTGCAAGGGATAATCACCAGAATGGAGGCCTTCAGATAGAGTGGCTTATAATTGGTGGATGACCTACAAGTTGTTGCAACAAATACTGTGTTGTTCCTGATGACTGTCATGTGTCTGGCATAATTAGGATCACTAGTATGCATTTGCAAGCATTTAAATAAAGATTTTTAATGCTACAGAGGGTGTAACAATTCTAAAGCACAGCATATGTGGTGAAAACAAAGGTGTTTGCAATAAAATATTCTGATTAATAGAAGTTTGATTCTGTGGTTGCAATAATGTGCCTGATTTCAAATATGTAGAGGAGACAAAAATGTTAAGTGTGTGGCGTCAGCTGTCAGGAAACGTGTAGTGTTTTGCTATTACTCAGCACATGAATGACCAGAAGTTAATGCAGTTTTCCATGTTGTGAATGTATATGTGAATTTAGGCTGGTTGCAGTATTTAATAGGGGAATCGTGAGAGCAAACCTCTGCATGTGCTTATTGGAAGCAGTTGAATATTCCTCCTTTCCATCCCTGAGAAACTTCACTTTAATTTGGTTAGATTGAATTTTCCACCTAGCCTATAGACAGTTGGTTAATGACCACCCAAGAGAGATACCACAGAATCTTACAGTGGTGTTAGCCCCATTACTGCTCATCAAATTACACTGCACCCTGTATTTTTCTCATTTGTGGGTTCAGTCCAGTGTTGCTGTTTCCACTCTCTGTTGTTTTGGTTTAATACACTGATATTAAAAAGCTATTTTAAATTGTTTGGATATTCATGTTGAGGCTGCATAAAACCAGGAAGCTTTAGGTTATTAACTACCTTAAATTAAGTTATCTGTCGTGTCCGTACACAAAATGTGCCGCATGCTCAGACTGATCCAGATGTGGAAAAGTGGCCTTGATGTATTCTGTGTTTTTTAGATGAAGAATATAGGTAGTAGAGCTGAATGTGGATGTGCTAATTAAGTTTTGGTCTGTCTCATGTTGAATCTCTCCGCTCACATTAACGACTCTGCAGTATTCAGCCAGCCTTTCCATATTACAGTGCTAATGAGATACCTATTTAAAATTCTCTTCGCAGGATATTTGTTCAGTGCATTGTTCCACAGCAAGGTTTTGCAAACCATTCAACCAAGTAACTGTACATGTGTTGCAGTGCAAAGCTGATAACGGCCTCTGCATTCACTTCTCCTTTGTTTTCTCATTTGGTTGCATGAAGACGCGACTAATTCCTTGACCTCTCGGGCACGCTTAGTTCAGACTTTTAACACTAGTGTGGTATCTGTATGTACCCTGCCATAGCCACTTCAGTAAACAGTTGGCTGGAGTTAAACTAGAAACTGTTGTGTAGGTGGAGTCACCAGTGCAGAGTGGTGTGATGTATAATGTAATGCAAATTTATTTCTAAAGTAGGTATTGTCAAATAAGATTACTTCTAGTTTAAATATGTGCCCATATTTGTGGCTAGGAGGGGGAAATTATAAAAAAGAACATGTATGCTGGCATAATAATCAATCAGCTATCTTCTACACGGTAGCAAACAAGCAGAGAAGTAATAGATAACTAAAAACAAAATGAAAAGTTTGAAATGTCTGGCTTTTGTTGTTCCAATTGGGAGTAGCTAGTGAAAATAGAAAAAGAGCAATTTGGTTTCATCCTCTGTATTGAGTGGTACTTTGTTGTCTGTTTTGAATCAGTCATTTTAGGAAGTTGTGACCAAATGATTGAGGGAAAAAATGATCAGATTAATTATTAATGGCATTAACTGCTATTCTCTTTTTTGGTTTTTGTTTGTTTTAGCTCTGATGAACAACATCCAGATCAGTTTAAATGAGAAATATAGACACATCGCCTTTTCATTTGCAGCTGTTTGTGTTACATGAAACAAAAAACTATTGGTTGCAACTGGTTTAGGGTCTTTGTTTGCAGATTGCAGAAAGCGTCGACTAGTTGATTGAAGACTTGCCCCTCACACTGCTGACAAAGGTCTGTTTGTTTTTCAGCACGTTAGCGCCGTCAGGTCTCTTGGCATTGTTTGACTTGGTCATCTAGTATGTAAATGCTTTTCATTAGATAAGTGAAGATATGGAGTGGGATAAGTGAAAAAGTTGATTAGAGCTTTAGCCGAGAGCAGTTGTTGTGGATTTAGTTGGTAAGCCCTTTCCCCAGTAGACCACAATACAGCCCTGCATTCCAGTCCAGTCACTCTGATTCACTGGACACCTGTGCAGCCCCGTAACCAGCCTGTTTCCCTGCTGTATTAACACCGAGCGCAGGCTGAAAATGAATTTAAAAGGGCCCCAAAATGAAATACTAATGGAATGTAAAGCTAATCTAAATATGCTAATCCCCAAACACTTCATAAACATAGACGGCAACAGCCCGCCACCCACTTTCTGTAGTCACTCGCTGTGGAATGCTTTAGCCACAGGGGGTCTAGCAGTAATGACAGGCTTGTGGTGGATTAATGTGGAGTTATTTATTTCCGATTGAGCGAGTCCCCCTCCCACTCATACCCCAGACCCCCCTCCTTGTTAGCGGTCGGGCCGGGTCTCCATGACTCCTGGAGATGTTCCGAACAAGCAGGCATAGATGCTCTATTAATGCAGTCCGCCTCGCTAACATGCTCAGACCACCGCTGACGGACCTCACACTGCATTCTGGGATATCTTCAGCCCTTTACCTGCTCTTAGCTAATTACTTTTTAGGCCTGCGCCTGCACAGTAATTGGTCTTGTGCTGCTGCCTCCCCTCCCTGCGCTGCGCCAAGTGCTAGTTTGAGCACTTTTTTTCCCCTTCTCTCTGTCGTCCTTATTCCCCTGTTTTTTATCGTCCTCCAAAAGCCATCCAATTAATATGCTAATGAGCTGATAAATATTTATAGGATTTAAATTATGCAGAAAGCTTTCAGAGCCCGGTGTGAAATGCGTCGCTCGCAGGACTTCAAAGCCTTGCATTGCTAACGAGGCAGGGGCAGATTTGCATACGGCTTTAATCAGCTGAATACTGATTATGCTTCATTATAGAGTTGGAGCGGGGGGGTAGCAGAGTTGGAGGAGGCCGCCAGCTGCACTTGTCGTTTGTTTCATTCCAGCAAGAGAGGGAGAGGTTGAACTTTTTCAGAAGTACAGACAATCTTGGCACACGAGAGAGAGAGAGAGAGAGAGAGAGGGAGAGAGGGAGTGCAAAGTAGGCACAGTAAAAGAGAAAGGGGCAGAGCTATAAGAAAAGAAAAGAGAGTGCAGAGAGAGGCAAGGAGAGCTGTTTGCCTAAACCCTGTTGGCTTTCCCAGTGTGCGTATCCCAGTGTTGCTCAGTGAACCGTGTGCTGGACACTGCCACTGTGTCTGGTGTGTAACTCTGGTTGTATTGAACCCTGCTCGCTGCTGACCAGTGGAGAGTGAAGAGAGGGTGAAGTGGGAGGAGGAAGAGAGTGCCGGACACCCTGTCGGCGGGTTTGCCCGGCCGGGGCAATTGTACTCGATAGGTTCAGCAACCATGCTGGAAAACACAGGTGGAGCAAGAGTAGGTGAGTTTTTTGATGAGGCTGTGATGGAGCTCAGATGGGGTTTTGTTGTTAGTCGGTTGTCATTATGGTGATTTTGTATTAATGTTGCATCAGGTGCTGTTTCTTCTTACCGCCGATGACTGTAAGAGCATCTGTGATGGTGATTAGTTTTGCTCGGTAACGCTGTTGGAAAGGTGATTGTGACTGAAATGCTCTTGCAGAATAGGAATGTCATGCATTCATAGGATTTTTAGATAACCAAAGTGAGACCACCCTTCAAAACATTCAGACAGGGTTGTTATGTTCTAGCGGCAGTGGGCGTGAGTGTGTCTCACTATGTCTCTGTCTGGCTCTTTCAGATGTTAAAGTGAATAATCAGTCAGAAACTACTACTAAATGTGCAATGGAAAGTGGTGACGGGAACACCGGTGAGTGACCTCCAGCTTTTTTTTTTTTTTTTTTTTTTTTGCCTGGCTGAAATCAGGATGTGTTGACTTTCACCTCCTCATTCAACAGGTTTCAAATTTTTAGCCAACAATTCTTTCAGCATTTTTGCAGCACAAATCAGAGGAACCACTCTGCTGTCCACCTTTTTATTAACTCGTTTTGAAAAAAGAGATGGCAGCTTTCCAAAATCTTTGCAAGCAGTCCTCTTTGTCAAATGAGGTGTTCACCTCACCGAGCACTTGTGCCTATTGAATATTAGACTATTTTGTTGTGTCTCAATGCTTCAGCGATTCTGTGTTGTAAATGATCAAACTCAGAGTGAACATTGTACATTCATTGCACGGCTTTATTTTCCTCTTGTGTAATGAGAAATAAGTTAATATTGTTGATGATACTGTACAGCTCTAAGCTTGTAATGTGAAAAAAATTAATTCTGTGATGATTCACCAGCCTGCATTTGACAGATTTATGCAGCTGTTACATACGCTGCCAATTTTAAAAATATGTTTTTCCTCGCACCCGAAAACTGTTTTTGTCAGGTCTACTTCCAGGCAGATTTCAGTATTGTGTTCCTCATTTTTGTGATAATAACAACATGGAGTCTGCTGCCAGTTAGACCACCCTGAAAACATCTTTCTCTGACAGACTGTTTCATGAACTGTGTTTCTGTCCTCAGGAATCCAAACCAATGGATTGGACTTTCAGAGGCAGATGGTGCCAACCACAAGTGCAATCACTAATGCACATGCACAAGCCCTCTTCCAACAGGTACCACATCATGCACATGGGCACAACATCACACACTTTACCTTGAGTAACCTCTTGTTTTCCTGTTTTTGTGGAAGGAGCAGGTGTCTAACGGTTAATGTTTTTTGTGTAATGACAGTTTTTTAGTAGCTTGAAAAAGAAATAAAGTATGAAGTTTGAACAGAGGTATGCTTGTCGGCACTCAAACATGCACAGGCAGAAAGAGTTCATTTAAATGAGCCAGGCTCTCCCAGTGTCGCCTGGCAACAAGGCAGATTAATCAACCCTGTATGCTAATTAGCTGCTCTGCGGTTGCTCGGAAACAGATGGCCGAGAATATGCAAATCTATGCAGAATTTACATGCACTGCATAACAGTTATTTTAATTAGCATCTCAACTCTCCCCTCCCTTCACTTTCCTTGTCTCTGAAGGCTGCAGCACATTTTAAATACCCACTTTATCGCGTCTTTTTAATTCAAATTCTTCTCCCTGCCGAAAGACTAAAGGCTCATTCTGAGAAGCCACTCATGTAGTGCAGAAATGAGATATTTCATTGTGTTTTCAGTTTATGTTGTTTGTTTGTTTTTAGTGTCATTTTATGTCTGAATTAAATATTAATTTAAATTGCTTTTAATTCAAACATTTAGCACCTTGTTCTTATTTTTATGATAACCACTATTATATGAAATTGAGACTCAGATATACCTCTAGGAAGATTTCCTCTAAGCCCCCACCCTCTGCTTCACCTCCACTAGTCTAAGTCGGAAGACTCGGGTGCTCTTCCGACCTCCGTCCAGCAGAGCGTATTGCCTCAAACCCAGCTAATGTTGGCCGGGGGACAGATTGCTGGAGTAAGTGGTCTCATTGCTTGGAGTTAAAAATCTGATCGTTGCCATATACACCAGGGTGACACATTAACACGATCAACTCTGGCAGAAAGATTGGCTAGTGAAATGATCGCTTGCCCTGATTCTATGGCTAAAGCTGCCTGTGTGCCTGTTCATCCCTGTGGTTGTTCGTCTATGTCCAAATTCCTCCATGACAGAAAATGGAGGGACATGTTTGGACATAGGCTGTACACTCGTCTTCGGTCTAGTGACATGACACATATCCATATCCATGTCCATCTTCTCCCTGAGGCCTTACTGTAGTTGAAATGACCAGACGGTCAAATGTGGCTGCTGCTGCGCTACGCGGGAGTGAATGTTTACAGTGCATGTGGATTAGAAGTTCAAACATGACATCAACATGCTCATTTGCACTTGTGCCTGGCTCAGCTGCATGAGTCTTCTTTCCATTTGACCGTGAAAACCTATATTTGTGTTGTCACGATAGCCAAAGGTTCTAAATATTACTTTGATACCTTTTGTGAAAAAGATAGATTCAAAAGATGAATTTACATTCAAGCAGTCAGGGCTTTGATGTGAAATGAAGTGGAATAACAGTTCAGTATCATTTGTAAAGGTGTTTGCAAACAAGAGAAAGTGGAATAGACAGAGCTGGGGTCTAGTTCAGTGAACTGGAGCAGCCATCGAAACAATTGTTGGCAAATGCTTCGAACAATCCAATCAACCTGTTGTTGTTAAGAAAACTGAACCAAGAGAAGAGTAATTAAAGTGTCTGTCTTATGGTTCGTAATCAAAGCAGATCTCCAGCCAATATGCCGAAGCTGTTATGGAAAATATTATGCAAAGTTGTTAAGAAGCACAAGCATTGTTTATTTTGTTATATTCCACTGAAGTATTGTAGCAGCTGTCATTGTGTTAGATATGAAAACTTTGCATAGGTGTCGAAGTCAGAACTAGACTATCGTGACAACAGATACCAGTCTGAATGATGATACTTAAACTTAATTGTATTAACACTTCCTGCGCTCTCCATCTTTCTGTTTCCCCTTGTCTCTCTCCCACTCCTGCTGACCTCCTACATCTGTTTTCCCGTCTCTTTCATGTGTCGTTGTCTCTTCAGTTGACTCTGACCCCAGCACAGCAGCAGCTGTTGCTCCAGCAGGCCCAAGCTCAGCTCCTGGCTGCAGCCGTGCAGCACTCAGCCAGCCAGAACAGCACCACTGGGGCCAGCATCTCAGCCTCCGCAGCCACGCCCATCACCCAGCTACCCCTGTCTCAGCCCATCCAGATTGCCCCTGTAAGACACAGTCACCCATGCACAACAGTTTCTGCAAATCTTGTGTGTAGAATCTTTAAAAAATGTAAATGAAACCAGCTGCATAATTTAGATACTGAAACTCTGTTTTATATGATCATACATAACCACAGTTAGTCTGCTGGATTTGTCATCTCAGATTGGTTAAGCATTCTGTGATTCTGTTTTCAAATCCAAAAGGCTATCAACTGATTTAAAGTGTGAAGTTTGAAAGAAATTTTAATAGCGTTTTCTAATTTTGGAAATTATCGACACTAAAGTTGACCCCAGTGTTGGGCTAATTTTACTGTTATATGAATGGGTTATATTCAAACTACAAAAATTGCATTGAAGAACATAATGTGTTTGAATAATTGTTCCAAGTACACTTGTTATAGATAAGATGTCTGCAGTAGGTCAACACATAGGACTGATATTGTTGTCCAAATAGGATCCAGGTCAGCAGAGCATTTGAAGCTGCCTTTATGGAGGCAAACAAGTACTTTATCAAAGAGAACTGTTAGGTTTCTTTCTGTAAAATGATATTGCAGAGTCCTCACCTATATACTATGTGAAGTGACCGAAGATCTAAAATAACTGATGTTGTTGTTGGCACTATAAAAAGAAAACAAAATAACAAATGAATTGAATTCCAGCAGTGTAGCTCAGGAATGGGGTTTAGTTTCAGACAAGACAAACTTCCAAACATGATAATTCAGTATTGGCTGTTATATATTATAGTGGTTTGATTGCTATACAAGACAATGTTGCTGCTCGTGGTATGAAGTTTTGACAAAGTCGGTGGGAATGGTGCTAGGGAAAAAAAGCTTGGGTCATGTGAGCTCATGGTTACAATGCTGTGTAATGTAATTGAGGCGGGTGTGCAGTGTAAACAGCTACATGACTATAATGATGACTTTTTTCTCGCAGCAGCTACAACAGCAGAATCTCAGTCTGCCTCAGATTCTTCTGGTTCAGCCTGGCCACCCAATCGCCACACCACTGTCCGCTCAGTTCATCATCTCACAGACAACGCCGGCCCAACAGGGTCAGTAAAACACTTAAAGCAGTGTTTGGTTTGCATGCAGGATGAGGAAAAGAGATGTGTTCCAACTGTTGGATTCTTAATGAAGCTTCCCTCTCCAATATTCTTTCACTCTTTAGGCATATTGCAAGCCCAGAGTCTCAATCAACTACCTCAAAGCCAAGCTAACCTCCTGCCGACTCAACCAAGCATCACCCTCGCAACCCAGGTTGGTAATGATGCAAGTGCATCTTTTAAACTTTGAAAAATATCCCAGGCAGTGCTTACACTTCCTCAGCTGTAATCATGGTGTTTAAAAAAAATCACACCAAAAAGATAACTTACTGATTTGCTTTATACAGTTTTTGTAGAATTTTTTTTCTTCTACATTTATTCAGATTTTTTAATTCCTCCTTGTAGACTTCTCTTAGCTTTAAAACATGAATATTTCTGCTTTCTCCAGCCTGCAACACCAACCCGCACAACAGCAACCACACCTATTCAGTCCCTGCCCCACAGTCAGACACCACCCAAACGGCTGGATACACCAACTCTGGAGGAGCCTAGTGATCTTGAGGAGCTGGAGCAGTTTGCCAAGACCTTCAAACAGAGACGTATCAAACTGGGCTTCACACAGGTGTGTGTAGGATTGATTGATCCTTACGCGTTCTGTAATATTTAGATTTGTAATTGATGGATGTTTATATATAATAAATATTTCACAGGTGAGTCTCAACAGCATTTAATTAAACTTAATAAATTCTTCACATGACTCATATTTTCTGTCCCTATTTCCTACGTCTCAGGGGGATGTTGGCCTGGCCATGGGGAAGCTGTATGGAAACGACTTCAGCCAAACTACCATCTCTCGCTTTGAGGCCTTGAATCTGAGCTTTAAGAACATGTGCAAACTCAAGCCATTGCTGGAGAAGTGGCTCAATGATGCAGGTTTGTCCCTGAACCCACCTGAATGATCAGATGGTCATGCTTTTTGTTTTCTCACGTATGTACTTGTTTTTGGGGGGGAATGGGCCGTGGGTGGGTTGTGTATCTTTGCAATACTTGCGTTGTCTTTACCTTCCTTCCCTTTCTTTGTGTCGGTGCTGTTTGTGCAGAGAACCTGACGTCTGACCAGGCCCTGTCCAGCCCCAGTGCCCTGGGCTCCCCAGGCATGGGCATGGAGGGGATCAACCGCAGACGGAAGAAAAGGACCAGTATCGAGACCAACATTCGAGTGGCCTTAGAAAAGAGCTTTCTGGAGGTGAGAAACTCATATTCCTGAAGTTAACTGTATTAGTCTTTGCATTGAAATTAAGTTTTCCTTTATGTTACATGTTTAACTAGTTAAGTATGTAGTGATCAACCCCATGATAGATGCTCTCTATCAGGGAAACTCCACAGTACAGTAGTCTCCTCAGTGCTGAAAGGGAATCTCTGGCTTCTTTGCCCTCTTCAAGCAGAACCAAAAACCTACCTCTGAAGAGATCACCATGATCGCTGACCAGCTCAACATGGAGAAGGAGGTGATTCGGGTCTGGTTCTGCAATCGCCGACAGAAAGAGAAGAGGATTAACCCCCCCAGCAGTGGCAGCAGCGGAGGAGGCAGCACCCCCATCAAAACCATCTTTACCCCCAGCAGCCCTTTGGTAACCACTGACACGGGCGCTGATGTGATTCTTTGCCCATTGTTAAATTTAGTTTTTGTCTTCATTTGTATTTGTAGGCTTATGTCACCAGAGTGGGTATTAGTTTAATAAATGCTTCTTATTTTTTCTTATGCAAAGCACCAGTATCAAATCCAGCAATTTCCCTGAGGTTTCCACCAAGGGGATCAATAAAATTCTATTCTATTCTATTCTATTCTATTCTATTCTAATTAGTTCATTGTTATGTGTTTGTACCTCTAGTTAAATGATGTGTAAAAATACAGGAGCTCATTCAATCGATCTTATTCTGTTGTCCAGGTGGCCAGCACAGCAAGCCTTGTGAGCAGTCCAACTATTAACACACCCACCACTCTGACTGTAAACCCAGTGATGCCTCTCACCAGCACCAGCGTCTCCAGTTTGTCTTTCACAGGTGTGTGTCTGCTTCACTGTGCTTGCCTTAATGAATGGGTCTAATTGCACAAAATATTAGAATTTAAGGTTAAATTCCGTTTTTTCTTTCTCCAATAAGGCACGACAGTTGGAGCCACAAACACTGCATCAGTCATCTCCACTGCACCTATGGTTACCACAGCAACTAGCTCTCCATCTTTAAGCCCATCCCCGACAACTATTCAGTCCACGACCACAGAGAACAGGCCTGGCACTCAGGCACAAACGATCGTCACCCAGGCTCCAACATCCATAGCTACCACTTTAGGGACGGGTCAGGTGATGGTGGCTTCTCCGGGGCTGTCTGCAGCGCTGCAGAATGCCACCCAGTTACCCACCAGCGCCAGCTTTGCGGCTATGGCTGCTGCTGCTGCAGGGCTCAACCCAGGACTGATGGCGTCCTCCCAGTTTGCTCAGGGGTTAGTATGTGCCATGTTCGAACACGGCTTCTGCTTATTACTTCTGTGGAGTTTACTCTATCGCTCAGGTGTCCTCTGTGTTGATCTAAATGATCTTGTCTGTGTGTCCAGGGGTGCCCTCCTCAGTCTGACTCCTGGTGCCCTCAGCAGCGCGCTGAGTCCTGCTCTCATGAGCAACAGTACCCTGATTCAAGGTACATGATATGTTGAATACTTGCTGTGCAAATATTTGTTTGGTTTAGTTGGTAGTTGCATGACATGAAGCAGGTCACCATTTTTTATTTGTGTTTTGACTGTTTTGTTGTGGATCGTCTGAGAGCATTCTGTCAATGATTTTATTGTTTGCAAATCCTGAAAATAATAACCAATAACCTGTTTTAATTTAGAAAAAATCTGTAGTTGATAAGAGTGTGATACTAAGTGATGAGGACAAATGCAGCACAAACTGTTCCAAATTTAAGGTGTTAAATTGCAAAATAATTTTAGTATTTTGGTTTTGTTTTTCTGACATATTTATACCAATCCCTCATGGCATAGTACCGGCCGACAGCCAGGAAACATGGATGACCTTTATTAGAAACTGATGAATTAATGAATCAGTAAATGAAATAGATAAATATATTAAGCCGTACATAAATGAGGAGAAAAACATGACAAAAGCAAATGAAAATCCATCGTCGGGTCATCACGATAACCTGTTAGTGGTGTAATTAGTATAATGAAAGCAAACATTGAATCAGGAGACTGTTATTTGCATAATAATGGAAAAATATTTGAGGCCACGCCCTCCAGGTTTAATCCTGCTGAGAGAAAATTACTTCTGCAAACAAAAAGATTTATCCTGCTAAGCGCTAATAAGCTTTGATAGTAGAAAAACTTGCTGATAAAAGAAAATTCCTATAGTTAGGCTATACATTCTCTATGTGGAGTTTTTCTCATAAGGCAGGTTTAGGCTTCCATACATGAAACTGATCCTCGCTCTGTGTCCTTCTCCTCAGCACTGGCATCGAGCGGCAGCATCCCCATCACTTCTCTGGACGGCGGCAACCTGCTGTTCGCCAACACCTCTGCCGGTAACACGCCCAACCTGGTGACCACGCCGCTCTTCCTGAACCCACAGAACCTGTCGCTGCTCACCAGCAACCCCGTGAGCCTGGTGTCGGCCGGGACGGGGGGGCTTCAGGTCACTGCTGATGCTCATCATCAAGCCACCACGGCTGCTGTGCCTGTGCAAGCCTCGACCATTACCACTGCCTCCAAGGCTCAGTGAAGCCAGTCAGGCTGCATCCTGAATTAACACCCTGTTTCTTACGTCGGGCACTACTCCTTATCACACCATGTAGGGAATAGGGTGGTTGTTTGATAAAGGCTCTGTGCTTCACTAACCACCCCACATTCTTTCCATTGTATCTACCATTATTTAATCCTTTTGCTGCCACCAAAAAACAAAACAACCTCAAAAAAAGGTTGGTCCTTTTCCTTTTTTTTTTTTTTTTTTTTTTTTTATAGTTTATTTTTTCCTGTCTTTTCCTTTATGATTCTTGGATGTTTTTCCACAAACAGTTGCCAGATGGACACTGTTGTTGGCCTGCCAGTCCTCATGAACCTTGACAAGTGTCCAGGAAGAAAATATCCTCGGCACCATCAAGCTGTTCACATTTTGTACATATACCCTTCTATTTCCAGGTCAGAATTTTCTCTGAAACACTTCTAACCAAAAACAAGAACTTTCCTCTTTTAACATTCAAACTTTACTGATTTACTACTAATTTCACAATGTTCATCATCACTAATGGGGGTTTGTGTGTCACCCTCTTTTTAATTATCTTTTGGGTTTATAGGACAGGCCTTGACGTAAATCATATCAAGATATTGTAGAGACGTTTTCTTCCTTTATCTTTACTGTCTATATTTTTTTTTTTTACATTTTCAGAACTTTTTAAGTCTAATATTAAGTTAAGATTTAACTATCACTTTTTAATCGTGGTTATAAGGCTTTAAAAACAAGTAATAAGTGGCCGATATAAAGGTTATCATTGCTTTAAGGGTCAGAGAGACCAGGTGTGTCTCTCTGAGTCTCTCTTCTGGAAACACTGAGTTTTACATTTCGCATGCGGTGACGAAGTAGCCACCGAGCTTTTGTAAAATGACAGTCTAGATGTGGATTATAGACACTGACAGAAAATGACTGAAAATCTTACATTGAGAGCTTTAAAGTGAGCTGCAGACATGCAGTCCTGCGTCTGATTAAAGGGTGATTTGTTTTGGTTTGTGATCCATTGGAAAACTGTACATTATGTTTGGATTCCGAGGTAGAAAGTAGATGTCTGCATGTGTTTTCAACAGCTCAGGCAGATGCTGAAAGTTCAGCAACTGCATGATCCACAAGGCTCTGCGGTCTGTGTTTGGGGAGGACTAGTCACGGGACGTGGTCATTGTACGAAATGTACGGTGGCATTGGCTAGATGGGGTTATTGTATTGTGTTTTTTGTTTCTTTTTCTTTTTTAACAGTAGTACCGTCGTATCTACTTGTGCACAGTATCTGTACCAAAAAACTGGATTGATGAGCTGCAGTCTGCCTGTTTTGGGAGGAATGAAATTCTTTTGTCTGCAGTCATTTGACTGGCTTACGTACTTTAAGATATACCAAAAATATTTGTTAAAATAATTGCTGTGTGTAGTCGGTGTAGCTTAGTCTAGTCAATATATTTATGAGTACAGAATCTCTCTTCATTGTCAACAGAATATAGAAATGCAATATTTTGAAGATCATTTTCCAAAGATTACATTTTTTGTTAATTTGACCAAGTGTCTCATAGCTCAATTTTTAATTGGCAGCACAACTGACCAAAAAGGAGGGATTGGTGGGTTGGAGCATGAGAAAGTAGTTTATTTTTTCTCTTAAATTTTTTTTCTACCGCTGGGGCCTCGCCCTTAATTCTTAATCTGGTTTTCTGTGAGCCATTTGATGGCCTGTTTCCTTTCTAATCTGTTTTGGTAGCAGTTTTGAACTTTTCTGAAGCATTATGGAAAGGGTCTGTTTTTTGTTTTTGTGCTAATATTCAGCCATAAAACAACAGCTTGAACCAAAGTGGTTTTCCTCAGTAGTTGCTGTGCCTGTCTGAGCACACAAGTTGCCGTTCACACGATCTCTACTTTCCTCAAATTGTTTTTTATCCTCTTCCACTTCGGTCAATACCCGATTATTTTTGTTCCTGATTTGGTGCTGCTGGATAAGGATCACAGAAACTTAGCTTTAACAACTTGCTGCTGAAGCTCCTGGTGGAGTTGAGCTGTCGAGAGGCCTGCATGCTTTCTTATAGCTTTATGACTACATCCTGTAAAAAATCAGGCTTTTGTAGTCCCGACCCTCCCGGCTGGAGGGCTCACCTATGTAAATGCATAGATCTGATCGTCACACTTCACCTCCTCTCAGCGCCGCCATTTTGAACCAGCATGTTGGGGAAACAATATGCTGCTCCCAAAAAGAATCTGTCTGTGGACTAGTTTAAAACCTGCCAAAACGATCTTACGCAACACAGCGGTGGGATAAGTACTGTTATGTGCTACACATTCAGCTAAACCCCACACAAAAGTAGCATTGTTCTGCTTCAAAACGACAAAACGAATTAACCCAGTGATTATTAAATCATTGAGACTGTAAGCAGTGAAATTTGTCCATGTTATCCTCTTGTGTACTTCTTTTCTGTTGAATTATTTTTGACTGAATATACCTCAGCAGCAACACAACATAAGGTTCACCTTTAGACATTTCTGTGTATAGAGCATTGTAGAATGTATAAGTACTGTCTGGCTTGCCATTCAAAGTTTATACTGATGAACCATACATAGGAACCATACATAAAAGGACAACCTACTACTGCTATTTTCTAGTACTACTATTTATGGGGTATTTCCAGGTTTGAATATTATTTTGAGATCCTTCTTGCCAAAGTAAAAGCCTTTCTCTTTGCAGCTTGGTGGGTGTCTGGCTGCTCATGTTGCTGGTTTTGCCCTGTCCTCGAGGCCCGCGAGGGGCCCGACGACCTCAGTCCTGTTTCCAGTGCTGTTCGTAGTTACTTAAGAGTTGAACGTTCGCTAGCAAGATGAACCAGTTGCCGTCGGCACCATAGGATGTTACTGAAATATTTATCTGAGGAAAGACTTAAGAATTAGAGAAACGATCTTTTCTTAATTCTATACATATAAATATATATATAAACACTTGTAAGATATTCATATTTTATATTTGAACCAGTATGTTATCAAGACTGAATGTAGTGATTATCATCCTTACTCGAAAAGAAATTCTCCCCTAAATCTTTCTTCTTATATTTTTATTTTTAACTTTCAAGACCAAAAAAAAAAAAAGCAAAAGAAAATACGAGATGAAACCCGAGACCGCGCCTCGGTGTGGACTCGCCGACTCCCGCGTCCTGTCGCTCATCGGCGAGGTCTTTTCAACAGGAGGGAGCTCGTTCAGGCGCTCCTGGCAGACAGGTCCTGTGGTTGGCAGGAGACTCTGAAGCATTCGATCTTAATCTTTTCATAGATATTTTTATTTTGTGGTTTTCGGTTGAGTCGTTGTGGACTTGATTTGCTGTGCTGTCTTTAACAATCATTAGTTGTTTTGTTTTAAATATTACTTTATGCCTTTAATTGTTTTGTATAGTGTGAGAGGGCAAGATCACTGGCTTTCTTAGTTTGATAAAGAAGATTAACATTATCATTTATGCCTTATTGTTACGTAGAAGACATGAGCATTGTAGCATTGTTGTTCTTGTGTGCGTCTGCGAGTGAGAGCTTGAGCGTCGAGCTCACCTGGTGCATTGTTGTCACTGAAACATTACAGTGTACTTTGGGCATTTTGGAGCGTGGGATGATTACGTTGCTACCTATGTGTTTTAGGTGTGGCTCGGACAGGTTGGGGGATACCTGTGAGAAAAGCTTTACTAATAATTCCAGCAGGTGGATGGATGTGTGTGCGTGAGTGTGTGTGTCTTATAAAGAGAGAATAGGGAGGGCAGTCTGCAAACCATTATGGTGCATTTTTCCCATCTTCCAGCGGGTGTTTAGAGTGATTTTTTTTTTTTTTTTCAAAGGGTGAGACAAGAGTGCTTATTTTTGTTGTTGCCTGGAGGGAGGTTCTCTACTGATTTAACTACAGGCTTTAAGCGAGCCGTTGCCAAGCCAGCTTTTGGTTTGTTTTGGTAAAACTCCAGTTTGTGGTCAACTTCTGCTCTTGTGAACCGTCTACTTGGCACTGACTTTAGCTTTTAACGCTACAGTTTCAGTAGGTGATCCGAATATTTCAAGACGCTCCTGCGGATCAACCGTGCGCCAAGTCGTAGTTTTGTTGACCCACCACACTGGTTTGCTGGATTTTAATGTCGACAAAGGACGCGTGGAGCACCATTAAAGCAAAAGGAGCTGTTGTATACCTCATTTCTAACTCAAGACTGAGTGAAACCTGCTTTAATCTACTTAAGAAATAAGGAAAATGTTAAAAAAAAAACTAAAAAAACCAAAAAAAAACCTCATAAAAAAAAAAAAAACACGAAAATAGACAAACTTGTGTCAGTGGAGAAGCCTGCTCATACCTGTACTTAGAGAAGGGTTGTGGAAAAAGCTGCCACAAGAGGGAGACAGAATACATACCAGTACTCTTTGAATGTCTGCTGTTTTTCTTTTCACACTTTTGATGATGTATTTTAGGAGTGAATAGAAGTTATTTGTTGTGACTTAAGATGAACTTTTCGTGAATTGTATTCCTTTAAAATTTATTTTCTGTTGTGTTGACAGAATCCCCTTCACGTTTGAACACTTGTTTAAGTTTGACAATCCTCTTTTTTTATTTAAAGTTTTTTTTTTTATTTTATTATTTTCTTTAAGTGTTACCCTGACCAGGTACAGGTATGTGCGCGTCTTCCCACATGACGGTGCGCTGTCGCGGCCCGCTCTCGTTTTCCTGCGGTAACAACATTAACCAAAGACTTCTAACTTGATTGTATACGAACGACACGCACCTCTCGCCCATCCCCGCCTCACTGCTCAGCATCAAATCGCGGCTGCACGCTCTCACCCGGTCCCGTCTGTAAAGAGTTTTGCTTTTTATTGCATGCGAATGTGCGTCCGCCCGGAAACACTCGGGCGTCCTGTCGGTGCAGCGGTTTCAGTGCCTGTGGGCGGGGATCGGAGGGAGCTGAGCGGGAGCTTGAGCGGGCTTCTCCGACAGACACGAACCAATGTGGTGGTAGCTGGGTGATGTTTGTTAATACACACTGAGGGTTAATCCTGTGCACACTGTACCTGCTCAGGACTCTGTATGTTTGTCTGTCTTGAGCGCTGTTGCTAGGATGTCCTCCTCCTCCTCTCCCCCTTCCCCTCACCCTGGTCCCTCTCCTCCACTGTTTCTCTCTCAAGGACTGTGGTGAAAATGCTGTTCCTGCCTCTCACAGTGCGTCTGTCTCTTCCTCATCATCTGTACACTGTAGTCCCAGGACATAAAACCCTGTTGTCTCCAGGAATACACATCCTGCGGTTGTTAAAACTCACTGCTGTGCCCCCCACTCCCCATTTCCTCCTCCTCCTCCTTTCCTCTCCTCCCTCCTTTGACATCGTCTCTTCACTACAGACTCTGATCAGCTGTGACACTATGCATCATGGTCCTTCACTCTGCATGGACTGTGTCCCTCCGGCTCAGACTTCTGGCCGACGGGCTTCAGTGACACTTTGTTTAATGCTTTACTCCAAGTGAGGCTGTAGGACCTCACAAGCGCTATCCCAAAGCAAAAATCCAAATATTTAACTTTTGACAAATGCAGATACCAAAGATATCTCTCTGTCCTGTGTGTCTCTGTCTGTTTTTTCTCTCCCTCCCACCCTGCAGCATGTGTATTAAGAGACAAACCCAGCACTGGCTTTAGTCCTAGCCTCAGTAATTCCAAAGCTTAGATGTATATTTTGGTATATTTCTGAGAAAAACTTACGTGAAAAAGCGTCTGTTTCTCGTTTGTTTGTTGTAATCTCTTTTTCCTGTCACAGCATGGAACTAATTGCAGAACTGTCTTACTCTTGGTAGGTTAAAGATATAGTATTTTTGTATGTTTTTGGGTGTGTTATGTGTGTGGTTTATCAGTTCACAGCCCAAGTGACTATTGCTATCAACAGAGAGAGAAAAACGAGAAAAAAAACAAAACAAAACAGAAAACGCCAACCATGTACATATTACGTCTGTGTATCTCAAGAAATGCATTCTGTAAAACATTTCACGTTGGAAGCTTGGGCTCATCTAAAGGAATGTGTTCCCGTTTTATTTCCCCTTTTTCTTATTCTGCAGTCTGATACGAATTGACTTTCCAGGACTCGAATGTAAAGAGTTTTGGTTTCCATCGTGGAATACAACACTGAGGGACACTGCTCCGATCTGACTACAAAAAAATGAAAAAGAAAAAAAAAAAAAAAAGGCTTCCAGTCATGGCGGCATAGAACTGAAAGATTGTGTAGGAGTTTTAAGTATGTGAATCAGGATACATAGTAGATTTTGATGCATTTGTCTGCTGTATTTTTGTTTGTTTTGTTTTTATACACATATAAAGATAATCTTTTACTGTAAATGTACAGTTCTTTTGTTGTAAACATCATTAAACCATTTTCCAAGTGTTTTGACATGTGCTTTGTCTTTATTGGGGTTCAGTGCACACGGTGGCACTTATTAAATACATAAAACCACCATTAGGTCCTGACTGGAATTTTTTAACTATGCTAATGACCTTCCATCAGCGTGTGCTGTACGTTGCTTTTAGTGGTAAAATATGCTTGAATGGCATTGCAAATTTAGTAAATAATGTCATTTATATAGCCGCATATAAGCAACCACAATATATGCAAATGCAAAAATGAAGAGTTTATTTTCTTTTTATTATTATTATTATTATTATATTTTTGGTTGGTTGCTGGTTTAGAAAATGCAACAAAAGGTGGAAACAGCTCATCACAAAATAGCAGAAACCCAAAGTGACATTACAAAATTGTCCAACCAACAGTCAAAAGATGTTTAATATATAATCACACGAAATCGAAAAAAATAGCAAAATCTCACATTTGGGAAATTAAAGCCACAGATTTTAGAATCTTTGTTATTAAATGACTTAAATGAATCAATAAATGGTCTGACTGGTTGGGCTGAGTTGTGCGACCTGGCATGAGGACGTCAGCGGAGCGGCAGAGCTGGAGGAGGGAGCTCAGTGAGAGCAAAAGACTCGTAGGGACCCGCACCCCTGTTCTGGTCTGAGGTCTGCTGTCGAGAGAAGAGAAGAAATTATAGCTCCATGCTGATGGACCTGCAGTTCCCCTTATCACAGTATTAACAGATAACAGTGGGAGCAGTTTAATCCACACTGACCACTGATTAGAGTTTCCCAGAGGAAACTGCAGTTGGCTGCTTAAACTACATCCAACATGGTCCCACTATTGGTGTCACCCAAAGACTTAATGTTTAATTTCTTATGGGAAATAAGAAGGAAGTACTGAAGCACCTTTTCTGAACCTTCTATCAGTGCTTATCATGACTGACACTTTGAAGACAGACTATTCAACTGCAGTCCAGGTGTAAATAAAACAAGTGAAAGATTTCTCCTCTTCAGGTTCAGTGCATTGGTTTTGTGTTACGGTTTACTGGGACACTTGAACAACATGATGTTATAACTGACTGCTTTTCATTAAGTTGAAATGTTTCGTAAAAAAGGTTTATGATGCCACAGGATTCCTAATTCATAATGANACCATTTTCCAAGTGTTTTGACATGTGCTTTGTCTTTATTGGGGTTCAGTGCACACGGTGGCACTTATTAAATACATAAAACCACCATTAGGTCCCAACTGGAATTTTTAACTATGCTAATGACCTTCCATCAGCGTGTGCTGTATGTTGCTTTTAGTGGTAAAATATGCGTGAATGGCGTTGCAAATTTAGTAAATAATGTCATTTATATAGCCGCATGTTAGCATCCACAATATATGCAAATGCAAAAATGAAGAGTTTATTTTCTGTCCGGCTGTAGAGGTTCAGGAGCTCGGCAACTATTTTACTTATATTTTTGGTTGGTTGCTGGTTTAGAAAATGCAACAAAAGGTGGCAACAGCTCATCACAAAATAGCAGAAACCCAAAGTGACATTACAAAATTATCCAACCAACAGTCAAAAGATGTTTAATATATAATCACACGAAATCGACAAAAATAGCAAAATCTCACATTTGGGAAATTAAAGCCACAGATTTTAGAATCTTTGTTATTAAATGACTTAAAAGAATCAATAAATGGTCTGACTGGTTGGGCTGAGTTGTGCGACCTGGCATGAGGACGTCAGCGGAGCGGCAGAGCTGGAGGAGGGAGCTCAGTGAGAGCAAAAGACTCGTAGGGACCCGCACCCCTGTTCTGGTCTGAGGTCTGCTGTCGAGAGAAGAGAAGAAATTATAGCTCCATGCTGATGGACCTGCAGTTCCCCTTATCACAGTATTAACAGATAACAGTGGGAGCAGTTTAATCCACACTGACCACTGATTAGAGTTTCCCAGAGGAAACTCTGGTTGGCTGCTTAAACTACATCCAACATGGTCCCACTATTGGTGTCACCCAAAGACTTAATGTTTAATTTCTTATGGGAAATAAGAAGGAAGTACTGAAGCACCTTTTCTGAACCTTCTATCAGTGCTTATCATGACTGACACTTTGAAGACAGACTATTCAACTGCAGTCCAGGTGTAAATAAAACAAGTGAAAGATTTCTCCTCTTCAGGTTCAGTGCATTGGTTTTGTGTTACGGTTTACTGGGACACTTGAACAACATGATGTTATAACTGACTGCTTTTCATTAAGTTGAAATGTTTCGTAAAAAAGGTTTATGATGCCACAGGATTCCTAATTCATAATGA